CAATTGCCCTTGGTGATATTTATCTTGTGCTACTCTTCACCTATGTCAATGCACCCTCTATCCTGGAACTGTATATAAGCACCTCATTCAGAATGACACAATCCCAGTCTCTAACAATGGTTCTTAGTGGGGAGGAAGGGCAGGAAAGTGTCAGTGGAGGTAAGTATTATCAGAAATACATTTTCAATTTAGAAAATGTTAACTTTCAAAACATACTCACCTCTGCTGACACTTATAGTTAGAATCTCACCTTGAGAAGGTGGAGGCACTGGTGAAGGAATTATCCATACAGAAAGTGTCTGCACAGATTACGGATCTGTCAATAGAAGATTGGCAGCCTAATGTCTGATTCCTCAACCTCCTCAAGTTCAACTTCACGAGCAAGCCCCACAATCTTTTGTTGAACCACTCCCATACTCTCCTCAACTCCCTGGAAGTCATTTACACATTCAGGCCAGACATTGCACCAAGAACTGTTTGTGACACTTCTTCCAATGAGGACTGGATTTTATTAATGGCATTCATGATATTATAGCCAAAAATCTCTAATAGTTAACCTTTTACCACTACTTAATGTATGGATGAGTTGCCTGAACATATGACGTAAATAATATGCCTTGAAGGAGGCTATAACCTTCTGGTTCACAGTCTTCAGCAAGCAACTGGTGTTTAGTGGAAGAAAAATAATGTACATTTTCAGACAAATAACCAAGATTCACTGGATGTCCTGAGGCATTATCTAACAAAAGCAATGCCTTATAGGTTAGATTGTTTTTGGTGCAATATTCCTATTCAGTAAACACAACCCTAGTTACCCAAGTTTTATTATTGGAGCTCCATATGAATGGGAGATGGGGTTTTGAATACCTCTTCAAAGTCCTAAGATATTCAGAGTAGTGGATAAGCAAGGGTTTAGCTAAAATCACCTGCTGCATTACCTCCAAGCAGGAGGGTTATGAGATCTTTAGAAGCTTTGAAGCCAGGTGCTGATTTTCTTCTTTGGAGATGTATGTTTTCTTGAGCTTCCATTTTTAACAAAGATCTGTCTTATCCACATTAAAACCTGTTCAGATGTGTACCCTCCTTCCTCCATTATTCCCTTCAAAACAGCTCGATATTGTTCAGCTGCTTCCTTGTCAGCACTTGCTCCTTCCCCTGAAACTGTAAGATGATGACAATAGTGGCACTTCTTAATCTATCAAATCAGCCACGACTAGCTGTGAAAGGTTCCAATTGTGAGCCTCACCCTCCTGTTGCTTTAAATCTTCTTACAGGCTCAGATCTTCTTCCTGAATTATTCCCAAGGTTACCTGCGAGTCAAGTTGCCTCATACTATCTGTTAATAATCTTACCATCTTTTACATAATATCACCATGTTGTCTGGTAATGTAAGTAGCATCTCTTGATATAACACTTTCAGCACTTTTCTTTATTTTGTCCCTACCTGCTCACATGGAGTGCATTGCTGTTGGTGGCAAGCCTTGGATCTTAGCAATATCTACAGCTCATGTCTCTTCACAAACCAAGTCAACACATTTAATTTAACATCTAAGCTGACACTTTTTCTCTGTCTCTTCTCTGGTAGGAAGAACTACTACCTGCTTGTCATTTGGAACTCATTTTACTAGGGGGTATTTTAATTTTACAACAAAGTCCTTGACTCACTTACCACACACATGCTGTCACATGCCTAGATTTTTACCATGCTACTGTTTCTTTACAACTGAGCCTAACTATTGATAACATTTGCATGCATTTTTAAAAATTATGTTGTGCATTCTTATGTATTTTTAAATATGAAATTTATTACACTCTATATATTAACTTAATATTTGTCAAAAATGAAAAATTGAAATGACGAATACTGAGAACCTACTGTACATCTATTTATAGTTAAATTTTATTCCCCTTTGAACTGTCTAACTACTAGTTGCACCATTGTTAATTGTAACTCACTTGGGTAACATGCAGCTCACATTAAACTATCAAATTACATTACCCACGAGTTACTCTAAGTTGCTTGTGTGCGTGCCTCATGAACATTTATTATATTATTTATTTCACCTAATCTAACCTAAAGAGATTCCTATTTTTACTTTTTAGTTTATTTTATAATAATAGATAAAGAATATATAAGAAAAACAGGAAATAAAGTACTTACCTGGTCTTTTTTTTTTGCTGTCTACTGTCAATGACACTTAACTCTAATTTTTTTTATACTAATGGTAGTAGTGCACTAAATAATTTATATTTAATTAAATAATGCACCAAAGGATATAGAATAATAACATACAGTAAACAGACAATGTCCCATAACTATCACAGTTTATCTGGCTTTCTAACTATGTGACAAGAGCTGTTACAAATTCATCCAAGCTAGTCTATATGTTTTCCATGGGAATAAAGCTTGAACTGAAAAAGAGAAAACAATGTAATATAATACATCATTTGACAGATGAACATCTTGGCTTTCTATTGGTTATATATAACACAGTATTAAACTTCAAAG